GCAAGGATGCTCTTCCCCATTACTGCCTACCTGACAGCAGTGTGTAAACCTGTACTTGCAGTCAATGTCACAAGCAGCGAAGACACTAGAGCCTTTCTTCTGAACAGAATGAAAAAATTCCCTTTCACCTTCTGTTTCTAGCAGGCAATTATTTCTGGCTGGCCAGTTTGCATTTGGTTCTGCTAAAAAGTCCCAGAGCCCAAGAACACCCACAGAAAGCTTTCATGAGGTTATCAGTCCTTGGAAAACCTCCATTCTGATCATCACTTGTTTTGCACATTCACTTCACCTTGTGTCTACCCAGGGCTAAATAGCAACAAGATGTTGGTAAAAACCAGCGGTGGTATTTTAGAAAAATTCAGTGTAATAGCACTTACTTGGTTTTAGGCACTATCCTGTTCATCTAAGCAAATTACTCTTTTCTTTAAAATGCAAGATTACAGGAGTGTTTGGAGACAGATTTTCACTCACAGCAGAGGCTAGAGTTTCTTTCAACTAGGATTGTCAAAAACTGTAACATGTTAACTTGGGAGCTTTCATTTATGAAAAGGCTCTGGGGTCCTAGGTTTTGAATGTCAAAACAGTCAGAACACCAGACTGGCTCCCAGGCAAGCATGGGTGAGAAGGAATCAGATGAGTTTACCATGCAGCCAGTAATTCTGTGACTTACTCAGTGAATACCATACTTTCCATCACAGATTCTGTCACAAATGATGTTTATCGCCCAAGTCAGAAACAGCATGAAATGACAGTTCCATAGGAGGTCAGCATCAATTGCAAAAGATGAGGCTTCCTACATTTACAGCCTGTCAGTTACCTGTCTTTAGAGATACACAGTGCACTGATCTGAAAGCACATAAAGACCACTTAGATCCAAATTTCCTGTTGTTTTCCTGCAGATGCAGACACAGGATTCTCCTAGACTTCCTGCTGTTCTTTCCAATCAAGGTTGTTCATTAATAAGATGAAAACAAATGAAGCTGAATTAATGGAAATAACTTCTAACATTGAAAATTTACTTCTACTAAATTCTACTTCATGATATTTATTACAGTTCTGAGATAACATTCTTCAAATTCAAGGGACCTCTTTCCAACTTTGTTTTTTTTTTTTTAAACATTACTATAAAATCTGATTGAGAAAGAAAAATGACTATTCATTTGCTGAGAGAAATGAAAAATATAATTCATACCCTTTCCATCAGATTTCCTTCCTACCAGCCTTCACAATGAGGATTTCTCCCTCTCCAGTGCCTGAGAGAGGCAAAACCTAACGTTTGTAAAACGGCTCAGGAGCTTAGATTTTTCTGTGGGTAAAAATGTATCCTAAAGGCTAAGTTTCACTATAAAGGCAATTCTGCTTTAAGGCCATAAAAATCCTTGTCAGACAGTATCTAGCCCTTGATCGGTGCTCTTGCCGGCATCTGCTCCGTCCACACTAGAGGGCTCTGCCTACCCGGCTATTGTGGGGACTAGGCCCCAGACCTTGAGCAGCATGGCTATGCTCTGGGTGCTTCCTCCACAACCTGGCTGCCCATCAGGGACCCACCACCCGACCTCCAGCTTGCCAACCTGCTGCAGAAGTGTCAGGGTGCTTGGGGACCAAGTGCTCGATATAAAAGCAAGATGTCACAGCAAAAGATTTTATTGTATTTTGGAAATGGCAGAACTTCACAACAATGAAATGTTTTATGGGAAAGAAAGCAAGGCTTCTCTCCCAAATTACTGCAGCTTTGAAGTAACAACTTTCACGTTGTGATTGTTGGAACACCCCCAGCTTCTTGCAGTAAAGGGATCTTTAATGCGCCAACTGCTAAGGTCAAGGATATTGGGCCTTTCCAAAGGGAACATGCTTGTGATGAGGCTGGCAGATAAACCCCACCCTATGGTGAGCCCAGCAGCGCTGCTACCATTGTTTCTCTTGTCTGAGTTGCCTTACTTGTCCTTTTCGCAAATGCATGGTACCGAGTCCAGAAAAGATCATTTAATATCACCCCATTCCTTCAAAAAACAAGGTCCAAGAAATTTTATCCAGGCCCTTTCTGCCTATGCTTCCTCCGCCTTCATCTTCACGCCCTTTACCTTTCCTTTGTAATGACTGCTTCTGTTTCCTGCTGGTTTTTCTGCTGCATAGTTTTGTATGGCTTTCCAGTTCTCCAGTCAGTAGACAGCTCCACTGGTGGTTATACTGGCTGGGTCATGTAGGTACAGGCAAATCCCCCAGCGGCCTCAGGAACAGAAGGAAGTCCCTTGGGCCATTTCGTTGCTTGCCTGAATTTCTGGCAAGTTGCTACCAGAACAGCATCAAGAGCGGGAATGGATGAAAAGTGGCCTTCAAGGAACCACTCATGCAATTGAAATGCTGCAGACTGCTTTACATTTACTGGTCTATTTGGTACAACTTCTTCCTGATACCCTGTGAATGGCTTGGTCCATCTTACCTGGTGTTAGCTGCTCAACAGAGGTCCAGGCCTACCTGAAAAAAAATCTCCCAGGAAGATTTTAGAACATCGTGTTGCTGAGGAACTATGTGACAGTAGTTTCTTTACTCTGGGAAAGAAAGCAGCACCTCTGTCCCAGCCGCCCTGATGCCCAAGGAGTAGTGGGAAAAGATGAGTCCAAACTTCCCATCTTCTCTTTAGGCACTGTGGCAAATCCCATAACATATAGACTTTAAAAAGGACAGACAAAGCCCCAGATACACGGACTCTACAGCTAGCGTGGGGTCTTCTTTCCACTTCCCTCAAGGAGAGAGGCACAACTAACTCTAAACCAGTATATAAATCTCCGTTCTTACCACTGAACACAAGGTAAAGATCTTCCAACTGTTTATTTTTCTTCCAGAAGACTTTAAAATAGCTGAAGAAATCACTGGGAGAAGAGCCACATAGATATACCCTAGGTCCCGCTTCTGATGACACAGTCATAAGTAACAACAAAGATCTGTTCCAACATGTTGTGTTGTTCCCTGGCTAGGCCTGAAACATAGAATATTACAGATACCCAGTCAGGAGAAAGAAAAGACATGGGTTTTAATGTCACAAATTTTCTTCTTCTTCTTCACATGGAACATAAAGTGACAAATGCAATTACCTCTGAGGGTAGGAATTTTTCAGTACAGATTCGTGTCCTGGCACCAGGCAGTTTCTTTCTCCTGCAATGCTTTTAGGAGATGCAAGGACAGCGATTGAGTTCTTTTAGCTAAGTACAGCTGGAAACCAGTAGACTGGATGATCATGTGGCTGTGACTAAGTCCTCTCAAGCTGAACTGCATGAGAAAGAACTTAGGCCAATTTCAGTTCGGGCTACAGTAAGCACTTCTCAAAAGCTGCTTCTCTATGAGTGGGTGTTACAGAAGACAAAGACAGATGGATCTCATGGGGCTCTACCCTGCAACTTGTGGAGGGACTCAACGTACACGCACAAATGCTTGTTGGTGTGGCTTTTGACACATGAGGATCTTTCACATAGTGGCTCAAGGGCTGGTTATTTGTAGCAGATGCTGTGCAGCAGCAGGAAGTTGGACTGGTGGCCTACTTTCAGTGCAACCAAACACAATTTTAGGTATGCATTTTTGAATTTCCAATAAACCAATGCCCTTATTTTGAAATGCATATAATTTGATATTTTGTACTACTACTATTAATATGCAACCATCTTTTCTTGGGAAGCACATCAAACAAACCATCATCCTAGATCAGTTCTGTACAAACCCAAAGAAATTATTGCCCAGCTTAGTTCATGTTGGTTTTGAGAGTAACCAAAGCCTGGGTGTGTTTGTCACATCCAATCTATAGTCCAAGGACTTCAGTTGTAAAGTTTAGGGATGTGCGTTTGGCACCAGAGGAGCACCAGAGATTGGTTTATTACAGAGGGAAGCTGCCTGTAATGTTATTACCCATTCAGCTCTCAACATAAATGAGAAAATACGCATGGCAATTTAATCAGGTTTCATCTATGGCTGAAAACGGGATGCCTGGGTATGAGTTGAGCATTTACTCTCTTTGGCTTTAACTGCTACAATGTAAAGAAATGATAGAGACTGATCAATGTGAGCAAGGATAGGATTAGAGCCATTTTCAGGTGAAGCAAGCATACATTTGGGCTCTTAATCATTTATGAGAGAAACAGAGTCCACGAAATTCATCCACTTCATAACACTGCTGAGGCACAAGCATTTTCTTTTCTTTTATTTCATTGTAAATCCTTCTGAACCATTTACTGTGTCCTGTAGAAACACACACTAGAAGATGCATGTAGCGTCAAATGTCTCTTTTGAGAGGGGTCAGGTTAAAATTCAACCTGTCTGGCACTGACAATCACAACCTGCTACAAGAACTAGACGACCTTCATGGAGCAGCCTTCCTCAGAACCTCTCAAATCTTTTGTATTCAGGAGGAATAATAAGGATTGCATATGGCTGGGAAAGGAATTCTGCCAGTTCCAGTTCACTGCTGATGAAGTGCTGGGGTAGAAGATGGCTTATGCTTCACATGCAGGAACTGATTCTGCTTTGTGGATTTCCTGGTGTTCAACAGGCCATGCCAGGATTTGAGACATTACAGTTCCTGCAAGTTGCAGCTCTTATTTCAAAGAAGCTTAATAGTTATTTATTTTAATCCAATATTTATTTCTTTTTATCCACCTGCAGGCATGTTTCATCATAATAATTTGATTTTTAAGAATACAGGGATCAGACCACCATCCCCGGGATGTGTGGCCATCAGTTTACCAATTCTTCCTTTTAGCTAGAGGCACATACGTTATCCTCTGAGTAAAACACGGTGTCTTTCCAAACTAGATGTACTTCTCCCATGCTTCACTCATCACATCTTGAAGTAAGTCCTGCTTTCCCACTCGGCCCATATCCTCTCCCAAGCTTCCCTTTCCTTAGCACTTCTCAGCAAACCAATTAATAGGACAGAGCTTAGCCTGTAGCCTATCTTGGCAGGAACAGCACCAGTTGGAATAAAGAAAGGCAAGGAAAGTGTTAGGGTTAGAAGTGAAACCCTGCTTTGGAAATCTTTCAGGTTCATCAGTCAGTTCAGCTTCTGATTTTTCTCACCACAAGGGAAAGGCCTTGACACACTCAGTCATAAACAAGGTAGGCTAAGTTTATCCTGACAGCTGTGTGAACAAGGGGAATAGCACATCTGAGTAAGCCTGAAATGTTAGGTGTGTACTGGTAAAGACAATGCTTACAATTGGACTCAACAGTTTAGCAGTCAAGCTCTGTTGCATAAAGGCAATTCAGAATTTTGAAAAAACTCTCCACATTTAGCTTGGAATCCACATTTACTATTTTCCTATGACTTTTGCTCTTGAAGAATAGTCCACAGGCATTTTCTGCAATCACTTGGCAATTTGGGCTGGAATTTGAGGTGCTCACATTTATGTTCCAGTTGTAAAAGCTGTGAAAACGTGAAACAGAAATGCTTTATTTTTAATAGATGTTATTCTTTCAGCTTAGAGGGCAGATTCTGACTTCCTGATTAATGCTGAGTAGTTCCCAATTCCACAACAGCCCCTCTGAAAACCATACATATTCACTGAGGTGCAGAAGTCTACTAAATATCAGAAAATCTGGCTAAATGTGGTCCTACATAGCTCATGTCTGTCAAACCAAAACCGAGGCCTCAAGCCATCTCCCCATCCATTCAGTACTTAACACAGAGCCCAGGTTATAACTAGGGGTAAGTGATAGTGCTCAAGAACTACTTAGCCCTGTGATGGAAAGAGCTCTGAAGACCACCTGGAAGTGCTTACTGGACCACCATAGATCTGCAAACCAGATGTGGGAATAAACAGTTTTCCCCTAGGATCTCACCGGAACTCTCTTACTGCCTTACTGTTTTCCTTGCTCTTGTTTTTAATACAATACTGGTAGTAAGGAGTTTGTGGATGTCTGCCCATGGGCAAGATACAGCAGGGGGGGCTGAACTCCCTAAAGGAAAATCCCAGCTCTCTGGGGAGCTGTAGGCATCAGCCTGGGATTCATTCTGGAGCAAACCATTGGATTGGGCTAACTGTATTTGCTAGTTTCCACAGTGTCCAGTGCTAAACAAATGCCAGAATGAATCAGCCAGCTAGCTGAAATACAGAATGGCCACAGAAGTGTTTCTGTAGATGATCATCCTAACCCATAGGATGGTTAGGGCTGGAAAGGACTTTAAGATAATCTCAGTCTTTCTCCCAGATTAGAGGTGCTGGAACTCCCCGAGCCTTCTCACACTTCTCACACTTCTGGTTTTTAACTTCCCAAACCTTTTATCACCTGACCTCATCCCTTTTGGGCTTTTTACTTGCCATGCAACCAACTAAACAGGCTGTCATTTGAATGCTCATTGCTAGTACTTGTTCAGAAACCTTTTCAGCTCAGATGTAACTATATTTTGCACAATGCCATTTGAAGACAGGCTGAGAAAACTGTGGCTCTTCAGCCTTAAGAAGAGAAGCTGCATGGAGACCTCATAGCAGCCTTCCAGCGTCTGAAGAGCCCTACAAGGATGTCAGAGAGGGACTTTTCATCAGGGACAAGATGACAAGATGACAAGCAAGAGGACAAGGGGTGATGGATTCAAACTTAGACAGGGGAAGTTCAGGTTAGATATAAGGATGAAGTTCTTTACTGTTAGGGTAGTGAGGCACTGGCACAGGTTGCCCAGAGAAGTGGTAAATGCACCATGCCTGGCAGTGTTCAAGGCCAGGTTGGACAGAACCTTTGGGCTTCTTCCTTAAGGTCCTTTCCAACCCAAACCATTCTGTGATTCTATGATTCTCTGTGTTTTAAAGTGCCTTGAGTTCTTCCTCACTTTGAAAGAGTTAAAAAAAAAATCAACCAGGCCTCACTGTTATGTACTTTAAACCTCCTGAATCACTCTGGTAGGAATGGAGCAACATGTAATGACTTGGAGACCAATTTACAATGTGCTTACACAATTCATCTTGGCATCACTGAAGTCAGTGGATGATTTGCCACTGAGGCCTACAGCCTTCAGTTACAGCCACCTACTGTACAATGCTGTGTTCATCATAAAGTGACATCTTCAAGCGAGTTGGCACAAGTAGAAGCTGCCCTCTTCCTAGTGCTTACATGCCTGTGGGCAATGAATGAAAGGCGGGTGGACACCATGCATCTGGCCTAGTAGTAATGACTGCTTTGCTTTGATATAATTACTGGTCACATTAATTTGTTGTCTACGGAACTATTTAATGCTTCTGAGTACCCACCTTAAGTAGTAACCAGAACATTTTTTCATTCACTATTTAAATCTAAGAAGATGGAAAACTTATATGCAAATTAAATACACAGATTCTTTTAGCTCTCTACTCAGTAATCTTGTTTCATCCATACAGCTTTTCCCTGCCTCCCAGGACACAACTCGGTTAATGAGGCCAACTGCACAGACATGTTTTCTCCTGGAAAACCACTACTGGTTTAGGAAGAAATTACTCAACTTTATCTTGGGAGGGGGAGCAAGTCTCTTTGCAAAGACTTCCCCACACTCATTAAAGAGAAATTAAACATCTAAAGGTAGAAATAGTCAATTAACTGTCAGATAATAACTTTCTGCATTTTGCCAAGTTCCCAAACCCACTTCTACCATATGGCCCCATTTGAGCCAACAAAAATGAAGGTCACAGTCCAGCCAGCCTTTCTGCTGGGAAATCAAAGTCTAGAGCAAACAGCTTTGCTATGGACTCTTTCACTCCATGACAGACTAGATTCCATCATGTGTGAGATACGATCTCCAAGTCCACCAGCAAAACAAAGTGAGTCTCTTTGAACCCTGTACTGAGGGCTAAGAGACACCCCCCCCCTCGGCACTCTCCAGCTGCCTTTCCCACATATAAGCTTCAAGCTTCTTGGCATTCCTGTGTTCTGTAAAACAAAGACCAGCAGACAGCGGACACTTTGAGGAAGCCTAGATGTCTGGCCATGGAAGAAATTTTCCCCTGCATACCTTTATTCATGTTCATCACTGAAAACTGATGATCTAAGGAGATTTAAGTAAGCCTCATGCTCACCTTCAGCAGGTACAATGAGAAGGGCTGCTGCAGCTAGACCCCAGTGTTAGTGGAAGGACAAAGTAATATATGATTGCAGGAAAGAATTTTAATACTGCCTAAACAGGCAAGAGGTCAGAAGAGATTCAGAGCAGCCCTGTGGAGAAGGACTTGGGTGTGTTTGTTGATTAGAAAATGAACATGAGCCAGCAGTGTACGCTCACAGCCCAGAAAGCCAACTGTATGCTGGGCTGCATCAAAAGGAGTGTGACCAGCAGGTCGAAGGAGGTGATCCTGCCCCTCTACTCTGCTCTTGTGAGACCTCACTTGGAGTATTGTGTGCAGTTCTGGTGTCCTCAGCATAAAAAGGAACATGGAACTGTTGGAACAAGTCCAGAGAAGGGCCACGAGGATGATGAGGGGACTGGAGCACCTCCCATATGAAGATAGGCTAGAAAGTTAGGGCTGGTCAGCCTGGAGAAGAGAAGCTGCGTGGAGACCTCATGGCAGCCTTCCAGTATCTGAAGGGGGCCTATAGGGATGATGGGGAGGGACTCTTCATCAGGGAATGTAGTGATAAGACAAGGGATAATGGGTTCAAACTTAAATAAAGGAAATTTAGATTAGACATAAGGAAGAAGTTCTTTACTGTCAGGGTGGTGAGGCACTGGAATGGGTTGCCCAAGGAAGTGGTGGATGCTCCATCCCTGGCGATGTTCAAGGCTGGGCTGGACAGAGCCTTGGGTGACATGGTTTAGTGCACGGTTTCCCTGCCCATGGCAGGGGGTTGGAACTAGATGGTCTTAAGGTCCTTTCCAACCCTAACTATTCTATCATTCTATGATCCTAAGAACATTTCAGCATTGCAGAAGAAAACTGAATTGGAGCAACAGGCTGGAGCAAGCTTCTCTGGAGCAGTGTCTCCCCTGCCTTTTAATGTCAAGGTGAAACTTCCTTGCTGTCATCACGGCATTTTACCACAAGGCTGCTGCAAGAAAAGGGGGCTGGACATCAGGACCTAGGGAATCCCATCAAATCTGTGTTTATTTCTCTACAAGAAATACTAAACTACACTTCAGCAGTAAACGCTATTCAGGATTTACTACAATCCCAACCTAATCTAATACATTTTTGTCAGCAGAATTCTGTGTGGCTTTAAATATTTAAATTATCCTGAGAGTGTTCAAGGCCAGGCTGAATAGAGCCTCAGGTGATATGGTCTAGTGTGAGGTGTCCCTGCCTATGGCAGGGGGCTGGAAGTGGATGATCTTAAGGTTCTTTCTAACTCTAACTATTCTATATTTCTATGAGATGAAAACATGCTCTCAGATAAACATGATCAAATGCTAAAAAATAAAAATTCAGTTTACTTTTTTCTATTATTATTTTGCTTCATTACCATGTGCTTTGGAATAAATTTAACATCTTTCAGCACTACACTTAAGAATGTGCAGTACGAAAGACTGAGCAGTGCCCACAGGCCAGCCGTAGAGAAGAACACATATTGCTGTTTTTTTATTAAGGTAATGACTTGTTGGTGGAGTGCTATATAACAAGTAGCACAATGTGTTTGGGAATACAGCCTAAAACATGTGAGACAGGGTGTTTTTCTCATTCATCAGCTAATTCTGGTCTGAGCAGGTTTTTATTCTGCAGGCAGGCAGATGCCCTCCCAGAACTCAGGAGTCTGAATACAGGGTTTGGTTCCTTAAAGTTATCCTTTGGGTACCAAGATGGCAGCACATCAAACCACATGGTGCTTACAGAATGTCTAATTCCAAAATCTCTGGATCCTTTTGTAAACATGCATTAAACCACTTGACATTCTTGTGAGATGTAAGGCAGATGTTATTCCAGCTCATCAGTGGCTGGGGAAGCCAGGACACAAAAAATGTTGGAGATTTTTCCCTAGGATATGTGGGCTGGTGACAGAGAAGCAAAGAGTCCCAACTGCTGGCCCCAGCCTTTGGTTGGAGTCCTGTGGCCACTCGCATCTCAAATTCAGGGAGTTGGATAACCATTTTCCCAGAGTGAAATTCCATGGCTTGGTTACGCGCTGGATTTTGATGCCTCAGTATGTGATTGTCCCCATTTCTCCCGTAATCTGCTGTGGAATGAGCTGTGATGACGAACTTCTGACACAGCTTGTTGCGGTGGTTGAAATGCCACAGTGCATCAGGCCCAGGACAGCGCTTCAGACATGGAACAACCTGAGGGTTGCCAATCAACATCTGACCATCTGAGAAGAAGGCATGCATCTGCAGGCTAAAAGTTTTGCTGCCCCAACTTACTATTTACTATTTAAATAAGCAAACTCAGGGAGACAGAACATCCTGTAAAGGTGTTTACGTCTGTGTTGGCCCCACCTTTGATCCCATGGGGTTAGAGTATACTACCCTATTCTTTCTTCCCCTCAGGATAAGGATTGGTTCCCTGATGCAGTTCTCTACTTTTCTCTTCCCACCCACACATACACAGAGATAAAACCATTCCCTATAGCAGACTGGGACTTCAGTCAAAACCTAATTATAAACAATGATGGCTCAACGGCTTTTTTCAGTTTGTGGTTCTATGGATTTGCTATGCAAACTATCTGGCTTCAGACACCCACCCCCCCACCACCCCCCCCCCCCCCCACCCCCCGGAATTTACACACCAGCTTGCCTCAGTTGGGAAGTAGCAGAAGGTAGCAGACAAGGGGTACATGGGCATGCAGTACAACAAAGGGGACTAGAACCGAGAAATAAAAAGCAGCCCCAGCTCCTTTATGCTGGTGTTCTCCTTCTTTCTGCCCTCTGGTAGGAGTGTGCTGGCAGTCGTTCTAATGGGAGAGAGAAAATTGGCATTCTGCATGTGCTTGTCAAATATGATGAAGGAGCGACATACTTGGATGGGATTTGGCCTGTCAGTCCCTCCACAGCCTTCTGGTGTAAACCTCAGTGGGACAGGACACAAGGTAATGCAGCATATGTGTCTGACTCCACACCAGCCACTGCTTCACAATGAGGTGTATGTCAGGCACCTCTGGTTAAACAAGAACAGGCTACTTTTTCCACATAAGAAACTTAAAGATGCTGAGTTTTGCTGTTTGTTTTAATTTTGACTGGAATAATTATATCAAATGATTGCCAGGGTAGGGCAAGATATATTACAGTATTTCAGAAAACAAGGCAATTTGATTTGTCCACAGCTACTGTGCACAGTAGCTGTTTTGGTGATATCTTCCTCTTTACTGGTGCTACATTGTCACTGCTGGATTAAACCCTTACAGCATTTAGCTAAACTCACTGATTATCTTGCAAAGCAGTTGTAAATCAGGAGTAACTCCAATGAAGTCTTGTATAAAAGTGGTAGAAATTAGTTTCTAGCTAATACGATCAGTTCCTGACTTGGTTTCCTAGCAGTGGTGGAAGATCTCAGCCCTGCCTGCTGCACATGCAGTTACAAAGCAGGAGTCACCGCAGCAGACAGCGTCTGACACATCCTCTTTATATTACTTTAGTGGCACTTTGAGCAATGGGGATCTCTGCCTCTGATCTGTGGCCACGCTGCTGTCCTCAGAACTAGCATGGATGGGAAAATACAGCACTACAGGCAAAGATAATCTTTAAGACTGTTTTGGCAGTGCCTTTGCCATTCAGCTCACGTGTGCTTTACTGCCTCTTATTACTGACCATGGGAAGCAGCTCCACCAGCACTGGGTGCAGTGGTGCCATTTCATCGTATTTCAAGACACTTTGAGGGATGACCCTGCAGTCAGAATGCTGCAGTGATTCAGCTTCTCCCTCATTCTCACATCTGGACAGCTCCTGCAGCAGCACCAGCACCTTCACTGTGCAGCTCCTGAACATAGTCTTTCCTCTGTATCTCTCCCAAGCAACAGCAGAACCCCTGAAATTTGGCTCTAAACTGAACAGTGACAAAGCTGCTACTACAAGAAAGACACTGAGGTACTGGAGCAGGTGTAGTGAAGAGCAACAGAGCTGTTGAAGGCTCTGGAGCACAAGTCTGATGGGGAACAGCTGAGGGACCTGTGGGGGTTAGTCTGGAGAAGACTGGGGGGGACCTTATCTCTCTCTCCAACTACCTGAAAGGAGGCTGTAGTGAGGTGGGGTCGGTCTCTTCTGCCAAGTAACAAACCATAGGACAGGAGGTAATTACCTCAAGCTGCACCAGGGGAGGTTTAGACTGGAGATTAGAAACCATTTCTTCCCCAAGGGGATGATCAGGCATTGATTGGAACAGGCTGCCCAGGGAAGGGTGGAATCATTGTCCTTGGAAGTGTTCACAAACCATGTAGATGAGGCCCTTATGAGATGGTTTAATGGTCTTGGCAATGCTGGGGGAATGGTTGGACTTGATGATTTTAAAGGTGTTTACCCAGCAGAGTGTATGATTCTATGGTTGCAGGAGGGCTGACACACAATATGTTCAACAAGCACACAGCAAGAACTAACACATCACTGCTAGGCATTGGGACTAACAGCTGCTCCATGAAAATGAAGCTTATGAACAGCAAGAATTTGAAATACCTCCCCGAGCTGTTGCCTCCCTGCCTTTTTGCATGGCTTTAAAAACAAATACTTTTTTTTTCTTTCCCCTTCCTTTGTCTTTTTCTGTTAAAAAAACACAGGCCTCTAAGTCAGGTCTTGTGATTTTCTGATGACTGTGAGAGTGGTGAGGCACTGGAACAGGTTGCCCAAAGAAGTGATAAATGCTCCATCCCTGGCAGTGTGCAAGGCCAGGTTGAACAGAGCCTTGGGTGACATGGTCTAGTGTGAGGCATTCCTGCCTATGGCAGGGGGGTTGGAACTGGATGATCTTAAGGTCCTTTCTATGATTCTATAGCATGAAGGGCAACAAACTGAAAGGAGGTGAAGATACATGCAAGGTGCCTGATGGAGTGGTATGCTAGCAATGAGCTTCACTGAACTGTAAACCCACAGTGTCTGGGAAACATACATCTAGACTGGACAAGAGCATAATCCAAACCTCAGTCCTATGATGTAGGCTGGAAGTGCTTCAAGACGCTGGATGTCTAAAGCTTTTCTATGATACACAGCTCTTAGCAGAGCATGAACTAAATGGTGCATTTGAAGTTTCTCATGACTTGGAATACTTCTCAGTCAGAACAGAAGCAACACAAAAAGGACTTGGAGAGCAATTCTGTTACACAAGAGAGCTCTGGAATTCACGCAGCCAAAAGATGCTTATCATCTTGCGATTCTCTTTTTCAGCCTTTTTTCTTGGCAGAAAAATAAGAATCTCTAATCTTCATATAAAATAGTCATTTTTATACTGGAAAAACTGAGTTCTGTGTTCTTGGGTACTGCCATTGCACACCTCTCCTGCCTGTCCCCATGACGAGCTGCTATGTCGTTCATATTACTCTGTCTAAATCTAACCATCTAAAATGGTTAATTTTCTTCCTCTGTTTCACACGTATGCACAGAGAACCGTTGAACAACTTTTTTCAACAGAGCTTACTCACCAAATAATTGCCATGAATTATCTATGATTCAAAGATGACTTCAAATGCATGTAACACAAGCACACATTATATATCTATCTACATACACACCCCCACATGGCTATTCTGCAGGCAGCAGTGGAAACCAGATGATCACCCTAAACATCTCTGTGCTATCTCACCAACTGGCCACTCTCCTGTCTCACCATCCTGTTATATCACAAGCCATTGCACCCTGTCTTTTGTCAAAGCTGAAGGACTTCAGTTGTATGTGTTTCAGTCCTCATAACCTAAGTGTGTGCCTGAAGTTTGCTGTCTTAGAAGGATGTCATTAAAATCACCAAACCTGTTACTGCTACATTAAGTTTCCCTTTTCGCTTGCAAAGTCTAGGATTCTTCCTTCTTTGGGTAATGGGGACTGTGGTCAGTTCATCAGATGCTCTTTCTGCTGCTCCTTCCTCCTCAGGGGAGGACTCCTCACACTTCCCTGCTCCAAAGAGGGGTACCCCCAAAAGAACTGAGTCAGACAATAGGATTAATGAATGGACTGTTAAAGACACTGTTGAGAGCATTGGGAAATGGGTCATGAAAGTGCTGGGACACCAGAGGATCTTCTCACTCTCCTGGTCCTGACCAAATGAAACCCCTAAAAACTGTGGGAGAAGAGCCCTGTAGTGCATATAAGAGACAGGCTGGGGAAGTGATGTGGATTGCTCTTCCCATGGGAAAGGCTTCCTTCACACAAGGACCTGGTTGTACTCGGTGGGTAATGTGCAAGGATGAGGACATCTGGTTTGTGCCTTAGGGAGATTTAACTCTGGGAGGGAAATCATCTGTGATGCCAGTTGTATGTTGTAGGAAAAAAACCCCTACAAATCCTTCTGCAACATGCCATCATGGAGAGACTATGTCACTGCCTGTCTGTGATGGCCCATGTAATTCAGGTGCTTCAGAATTCAGGAACTGTGGTTTCTTCAAACTCTGGCAGAACTTTCTATGATAACTGCTGCTGCCTAAATTTCTACCAGATCTCCAGACACTAGACTGCTGCTGTCCACACTGTCCACTGGAGTTTAAAACTGCTGTTTACCCCTGCTATATACTGCTGTGTGCTTCTATGGAAATAGGTAGAGAATCACAGACTCACAGTCTGGTTTGGGCTGAAAAGGACCTTAAGATCATTTAGTTCCAACCCCCTGCCATGGGCAGGGACACCTCACACTAGACCACAACACTCAAGGCTCTGTCCAACCTGGCCTTGAATACTGCCAGGGATGGAGCATTCACCAATTCTTTGGGCAGCCTGTTTCAGTGACTGGAATTATCTGGGGGTCATTCCTAGCAAGGCCAACCTAGAAATGAAGAAAGGCGCCACAGTAGAGCATTTTTCTGGTTGTCGCATAGGTTCACTTACTGGTTTTCATCTTCCATTAACGAAAAGCCAGACCTCTGCTCAGTACGCCCAGCATTGTTTGAACTTCGGTAGGGTGCCTTTTTTGCATTTCAGGATAAAGTCTAAGATTAATAAGAAAAAGAGAAGAAATTAAAGCAATAAAAGGAAAAGAAATAAAGTCCTCAGGGTTGATCCCAAGAAATTACGAAACTGTCAGGCTCCACAAGTTGTGCAGTAATCACTCAGAATGGATTATCTTATTAGTTGTCTACATCATTAAAGTATAAAACAACCCAACACATCAGGATTTATGGCCAATGAGAAGGAAAAGGTTTGTCTTGAAGCTACAAAGAAAAAGATAAAAGAGAGGCATATAATTGTTGAATGAACAACAGGATGAGCAGCTTATACATATTGTGCAATTAATAATCACTGAAGGCCTGTTGGGAGTTGCATATATCTGATAGATCAACCTACAAACCCAGAGTCCTGTTCTTTTGTGCAAAGGTATGCGGTCATTGCAGAGCAGTCAGCCAAGCAAGCAAGTAATTTTTTTTCCCTAATATGCCTTAAAAAAATGTTTTCAGATGGAAGCCTCCCCCAGAATCACCCTATAAAACTAAAAGTCTCAGTCATTAAAACTTCCTTCCTAGATAGGCCTCGGATGTTGACACAAAGCAAACCCAACCAACCAAAGCATTTACAAGAACATGCATACAGTGTCCCTCTGTCCCTGCTCCACATCAAGTGGTGTGGCCAGCTAAGGTTCTGAACAATGGTCTCTGCAGAACAGGGCACCTCAAGTTCATTCACTGTGGATTTACTGAAACCAGTTCCTCATCACAGCAGACAAAGGAGTATATAATGATCAGCAGTGAGACGGGAGATGAGATCACTGAATCTTCCTCGAAAATAATCAAGTATTAGGGAAAGATTTATTAACTGTTTATAGAATCACAGAATGGTTTGGGTTGGAAAGGACCTTAAGATCACCCAGTTCCAACCCCATGCCATGGGCAGGGACACCTCACACTCGACCATTTTGCCCAAGGCTCTGTCCAACCTGGCCTTGAAGACTGCCAGGGATGGAGCATTCACCACTTCTTTGGGCAACCTGTTTCAGTGACTGGAATTATCTGGGGGGAATTTCTAGCAAAGGCCAACCTAGAAATGAAGAAAGGCGCCACAGTAGAGCATTCTTCTGGTTGTCACATAGGTTCACTTACTAGCTTTACTCTTACATTCACGAAAAGCCAGACGATGATGAACAACTGCAGCCCTAATTGCTTCAGGTGCCAAAGAGAGAGGTTAAGTGAAAAGACACATTTCCAAAGCCTGATGGCTTCTTGTAGTAGGTGGGATGCATTGCAAGGAGCTTTCAAAATCCTCCTGGGCACATGCTTAAACCTTTATCACTTTTTTAAAACGTAACCTTTGGATGTGCAGAACTAGCATCGAAAACAACACTTATGTGCTTTGATGGATTGGAGTCACAGAAAGACATGATGATCAGGAAGACCTGGAGGAACTACAAGTCAACTGACAAGTAGGCAACCTAGTACAGGAAATGTCAAACTATTGTTGCATATCCATTTGGATGTGTGTGTTTGTGTGGCTGGGCCAGCTTCTCCGACATCTTCCCTTCTGAAGGAAGTGGGGTTAGCATCTATGAATAAATTAGCCTCTTGATCAAAGTTTGATTAAAGATCTGAGATGAAACGATGGATTGTTAAGGCATGTGTTCAAAGCATGCTTAATGTATGCATGGATCTCTCTGTTTTTCTTCCTGTGGTTTCTTTCAAAGGGTCTTCTTCCTTTCCAACTGTAATCTCTTTACAGCAAAGACTGGAGTCCAGAAAGGATTAATCTATAAAGCCATGTGCTAGAATGTTCCAATTATCAGCTGAACTGATGAAAAAGAATACTTCTATGAAAAATGAACACTTCTTTTCCTCATTATTTTAGTTAAGTTGTGTGAGGTAAAAACAGGGGAGACATAACCGTCAAGGTTTCTTTCCTTCTTCCCAAACCTCAATTAATGCAAATCCTTTGAGATCCTAACAGCTGAGGCACTGAGGGAATCCTCACAGTAACCAATGTGCTATATGAATAAGGCTGCAATTTCCAAGCAACCTGGTGATATTTAGATACATCTTTCCCACTGGAAATGGGAAAAGGTATGTCATTCCCCTTATACCTTAGCCTAGGGGCGCTGGCCTGCTTTGTTGTTTTCAGCAAACTGCATTTTCAGTAAGCTGCATTAGCAAGTCTTATATTCTCCAAGCTTTGCCAGCTATACAAACATTTAGAAATAACATCTTAAATACTTAGGCACTGTTGTGGTTTAACCCCAACCGGTAACTCAGAACCATGCACCGCGTGCTCACTCCCCTTCTTCGCCCCTGCTCCCAGGGGGATGGGGAGGAGAATTGAAAGAATGCAACTCCCATGGGTTGAGGTAAGAACAGTCCAGTAACTAAGGTATAAAACAAACCCCTGCTGCTACCACCAATAATACTAATGATAAGGGAAATAACAAGGGAAGAGAATACAATTGCTAACCACCTGTTGACCAACAACCCGAGCAGAGATCTGGGCCTTCCAGGTTTATACAGTGGGCATGATGTGCTGTGGTATGGAATACCTGTTTGGCTAGGTTGGGTCAGGTGTCCTGTCTCTGCTTCCTCCCAGCTTCCCCTCTTCCCTGGCAGAGCATGAGACTCAGAAAGTCCTTGGTCAAAGTAAACATTACTGAGCAACAACTAAAAACACCAGAGTGTCATTAGCACTGTTCTCAGACTAAAGTCAAAGACATAGCAGTGCACCAGCTACTAAGAAGGAGAAAAATGACTGCTACTGCTGAACACAGGGCAGGCACATATTCAAAATATTGGTCTAAAACTCCCTCCTGCCTCCCTCTAATTCCCCATTTCTGCAATATGTTCAAGATCTTATCTATATCACAGTGACCTCAGCTCTTAAATACACAGGAGCAGAAGAGATGAGGGTGCATAATGAGTTCCCATCTCAAACAACTTAACTGCCCTTCAAGTGGCAAAAATACCAGCTATTTAGGAAAGGACTACCTTGTCTTGATGTCCTGGGTTCAGCAGTAGCAGTCATTTTTCTCCTTCTTAGCAGCTGGTGCAGTGCTTTTTGTCTTTCAGCCTGGGAACAACGCTGGTAACACCGATGTTTTCAGTTGTTGCTAAGTAACATTGACTCTGACCAAGGACTTTCTGAGTCTCATGCTCTGCCAGGGAGGAGGGGAAGCCAGGAAGAAGCACAGGACACCTGACCCAAACTGACCAGAGAGGTATTTCATACTACAGCATGCCATGCCCATTATATAAACTGGGGCAGTTACCCAGAAGGGCTACACTGCTGCTCAGGTCAGGCTAGGTATCGGTCTGCAGGTGGTAAGCGGTTGTATTCTCTTCTCTTGCTATTTACCTTATCATTAGTATTATTGGTGGCAGCAGTACTGATTTGTGTTATACCTTAGCTACTGAACTGCTCTTATCTCAGTCTGTGGGAGTTACATTCTTTTGATTCTCCTCCCCATCTCTCCAGGTGCAGAGTGAGGGAGGAGGCGGTGGGCGTGAGCAAACGGCTGAGTGGTTCTGAGTTAGAGCCTGGGTTTAAACTATGACACTTGAGGAAAAAGATCTTTGGCAGAGTCGCTCCTAAGCTGATTAGATTTGAGGGACTATGGTAAAACACATCCTCAGAAAACCTCTGGATTACAAACTCTGGGTTCAGGATGTAAAATTTTCTGCAAAATGGCCTTTGCAGTTTTCATCTTGCCAATACTAGTTGAGAAAAAAATGTGTTTTGCTAGGATTTGGTGGGATCAAAGCAACCAGGAGACTGCTAAGGCTGGGGAGAATTACTAAAAGCCAGTAGTTTAAAACCAAAATCTTCAAAAGTAACATAGTTACTGAAAAACCAGCAGGTTTAATTTCAGGCACCACACCTTGCAAACACTGGCCTTGGCATAATCCATTAGTTTCTTAGGGCTGAATGCTTGGTACAGGAAAAGGCAGTGCCTATTCTCTGTTTTTACAAACTTGATCTAACCCATTACTACGCCCATTTCAACTCTTGGTGTGACACACAGCAACATGTAGCTTGAATGGCTCAAATCAACGTAACTATTGCAGACAGATTGGGTTTGTAACGCTGTCAAATCACATATTATCGATCTGGGAGACTGATAGACCTAATTTAAATGTATGTTTAGCAGCAGAGCTGAGAGATAACAGGGCATCAGGCAGGCAACTTTTCTATTTGAATCCAAACAAGGTGAGAGAGCTGGGATGTTAATGAAGCAAATGGCATGCAGATTATTCACATTCCTTATCTTTTCTCTACTACAGATTTATAGTTTATAATCTGACTGCAAATCTTACGCACATGAGACACACAGGTGTAACTAGGGAGTCAAACTCTGTCATCTACTTGCACATTAAAATAAGAAACAGTTTATAACCAGAATCCCTTTGAAATCTGTTAGGATAAAATGTATGGAGGCTCCAGTTTCTCAGACTACACAGAATACATTGAATACAACAGGACTACACAGTGTACTGAAAGTAAGTTTTTAAGAATACCACTCTCCCTGTTTGTCTTCAATATGCAGACATCAAGAGGGTATTAACTGCTTACTACAGACAACCATAAACTGAAACAACCCCCTCAGCAAGCTGCAACTTAAGAAGCAACTGGTACAGATGGCAATGAATGCAGAGGAAACAGCCAAAGCAATTCAACCAGTGGGTATGGCAGAATTTTATCTGTGCTATGAGCAAACTGTGTCTGTCTTATCTGTCTGAGACACTGTGGGGTGTCAAACAACATCAGTGCTGTTGGGAAAATAGATCTGACAAAACGTAGATGCAAGTGCAATAATGAAAAATCAGAGGCTGTCACTCCACCCCCCCCACCCCCCCCAAATCATGTTTTGGGTTTTTTTTTAATTCTCTCTTCACTAACATAGAGATGACTTTCAAGGTCAAAAGATCATTTTTAGCATTAGTTCCAAACAAAAGCATTTTAAATGGAGAGTATCAAGCCAACAGCTTGCACTTGTCTGAACCATAGCAAGAAAAAATACAGAATAATTACTAGGGAAAACATTAGCCCACTAATAAGGAGAAGTAAATGTCCTGTAAAGCCTGAAGTGCATATGAAGGCTTCCTGGAAAATGGTTAAGTGCCCTCATCAGTTTCATATTTAAAAACTGTGGTTTTGAACACATTTATCATTTTCCATGGTTGAAGAAATACTTTATAGGACAAAGGGGATTTTGCAGTATTCCGAGAACTACAGTGGATCCCTTCTTTAGTGCATCCTCCAAGACTTAAAATGCTTCAATGTCTGAAAAAGAACATGACTCTAAGAGAAAGAACAAATTGAATAGCCTTGATCTCAGGCAGATCCAGGACAAAGCTTCAGTAAGAGCAGCCTCCCGTGCCTTTTATGTTGGAACTTGATGATCTTAAGGTCCTTTCCAACCCTAACTATTCTATGATTCTATGATTCTATATTACACATGAATAAAACCCTATTGCAGAGGTGAATGCAAAAACTCCCTTTCATCCAAATCCGCTGTTGTTTCTGAAACAAGGCTATTCAGAATCCTCATTTACAGATCCTGGGAAGTTCTCTGTCATTTAGGAGCAATGTAGGAACAAATCCCATGTCAGTACGTGTAACATTTCACAGCATAAAACCAGAGAGAGCAAAGTTTTTGCCATCCTTTGCAAAAGAACGTACCCATAAAGTTCCTTGAGAGCTACAGTAAGATTATTATGATTTTAACTAATCAGTTGTAAAACTGTAAGAAAATGCAACAATGGAGCAATCATCAGGGGAAAAAAACAAAAAGCAAAAACACCACAAGGATGGGGAACGCCCACCTGCCAGGCAGCACGGACAGAAATGCTACAAACCACCATGGATAAAAGAGGGACCAGAACTTGGCAGAACAATTACATAAAAGGCTTTCAAGAAACATCTGTCTTTGAAGACAGTGTATGTGGAGCGTACACAAGAAAAAAAACAAAGATCGCTTCCCAAAACACTGGGATAGCACAATGTTTAAAAATGGGAACATTTCACTTAGAGCAGACTAATCACTTTCTAGCAGTTTGGAACTAAAAAGCATATAAGTTGTTCCTCTCCCTAATGTTTTGAGTTAGATTCTCAAATATTATGATTTATAACTGATGTAATAATTTTTTTTTCCACATCTGATTAATGTATTTGAATGTTTTAGAGTACTGGAAATATGATATATACGCTGTATACAGAACAGAATACTGCCATGTCTAGCAGTGAAAAAGGGATACTCTCAACCACAAGTTGAGAAAACTTACCAGTTCCTATATATCCGACTAGAGCTATATGTTACCACAACTCCTGCCTCCTATACAATTGTTTTAAAATCTGTCAACTGTGGTCTTCAAGACATAATTCCCAAAGTATGGAACACAACATAATTCGTGTTATACTGCAGTATTTTATGTAAAGTTGTCATTTTGCAAGAAACACAAACATCAAAAGGCATCTGTAGGCACGTATCAGCGTGGAAATGTAAGCATAGTGGAAAATCATGGTAGAATTCCATCAGGAAGCCTATCAACACCCATCTATTAAACACATTCAAACCTGCAGACATCCTGGCAAATAATAGCCAGTAACAGCCCTGAGCTCCCCCCATAACCCAACGGCTGTCGTGGTTGGAAGCCACGGGCTGTTCCTCAGCCCTGCATATGAGGGAAGGGGCTTCCAGAGGAGGGAAGATGAAGGAAGAGGATTCCACAGAAAAGACAGTTCCTATTTCCTTGTTTATTTTAGCAGAAGTGACAGGTCTGATTAATAATTTGTATGTTTTTCATGAAAAATGTTGTGAAAATTCTGACCTCTGCATCAGTTTGGGGTTGAAATGGTTGCGATTATATCCTGTACTATTTTATGATATACATGGGATGTGAGAATGTGAGAATGGATGATGTGAGAAATAAGTTGAACATTCGAGCCCCCCCCCCCCAAAAAAAAAGCATCTCTCCTTGCTAACTGTAGTACGGGCTTTAAATGGTACCATTAGACAGACTGAGAAAATTGGGACTGTTCAGCCTGGAGAAGAGAAGCTTCATAGAGACCTCAGAGCAGCCTTTCGGTATCTGAAGGGGACCTACCAGTATCTGAAGGATGCTAGAGAGGGACGCTGCATCAGGGACTGCAGTGACAGGACAAGGGGTGATGGGTTTAAACTTAAACAGGGGAAGTTCAGATTAAACGTAAGGAAGAAGTTCTTCACTGTGAGGGGGAGTGAGTTGCTGGAACAAGCTGCCCAGAGAAGTGGTAAATGCTCCATCCCTGGCAGTGCTCAAGGCCAGGTTAGACAAAGTCCTGGACAACATGGTCTAGTGTGAGGCGTCCCTGCCCATGGCAGGGGGTTGGAACTGAATGATCTGAAGGTTCTTTACAACCCAAACCATTCTATGATTATGTGGTTTTACTAAGGACAGAAGAATTATCTTTCCTTTCCCACCTGTTGTGCTTTAAACCCAACCAGTAACTTAGAACCATGGAGCCACTCGCTCACTCCTCCCTTCCCCCCACCTTGCTGCTGGAGGGTTGGGGAGGAGAATCTAAAGAATGTAACTCCCACGGGCTGAGATAAGAAGAGCCCAGTAACTAAGGTATAACACAAACCACTACTGCTGCCACCAATAATAATAATGATAAGGGAAATAACAAGGGAAGAGAATATAAAATTAAAGGTGGAAAAGGAAAAGAATATAAACACAAGTGATGCACAATACAATTGCTCACCACCCGAAGAATGATACCTGGCCTGACTAGCAATCTGGGCCTTCCAGGTACATCCCCCCAGTTTATATAACGGGCATGATGTGCTGTGGTATGGAATAACCCTTTGGCTAGTTTAGGTCAGGTGTCCCATCTTTCCTTCCTCCTGACTTCCCGTGCCCCCCCTCACTGGCAGAGTCCGAGACTGAGAAAGTCCTTGATTGAAGTAAACATTACTTAGCAATAACTGAAAACATTGGTGTGTTATCAACACTGTTCTCAGAGTAAAGTTGAAGAAACATCACTGCACCAGCTATTAAGAAGGAGAAAAACTCTGCTACAGCTGGAACCAGGGCACTACCTTAAATACTGTCCCATTTTTCTCCCACCACTTCTGCTGTTCTTCAGGAAATATTTTCAGTGGTTACATGTGCAATCTGCCTGCACGCAGAAGACCATAAATCCTTATTCCCAACTATTTCCCCGAGCTTCTGAACATCTCAGAGAGCATGGTATCAGTATTCCACAAACCTCAGTGGACCAGATACCGTGGCACTGCAGAGACTGTTTGCTCTGGGTTGTAAACAAGAAGCAGGAGTGGGGAAAGGTTTCGCTCAGCAGCAGCTCCAGCGTGTAGGTGCAGGTGCACTACCCAGACGGTACTTAAACAATGCATTTCTGGCACAGCCAGGACTCCAGCTTGGCTCAGCACGCAGCAGCTTCCACATCCAAACCTTGTTACTAGATCAGCCTGGAATATCCTTCTAAATCCATGGCCCCCAGGCATTACTCCAGAAAGGGGGCCAGCTGGAGGGATGATAGCCTATAGCAGAGGAAAAACATACCCTCCCAAAATGTCCTATCAGTGAAAGGGATTAAGCCACTTTCCTAGCTTGTGGTCATTTTTGGAGATGTAATAAAAATAGCCTGTGGGACCCATAGAGTACTTGCAGTTAAGTTGTCATCACCTGCAGATGTATGGTCTTTACTGCTGCAGTGAATTACATTATTCCCTTAAATTGGGCTCATACTTCAGCCCCTGGAAAGGCACCAGAAGAATTTAGTGGGACTGAGAGATTCGGATTGCACTCAACAAGCCCCGCTGGGCTCACCTGGAGGAGCTTGGGAACTCCCTGCCACTCAGCCACTGAGCCTGGTATAAAAGGGAGAATGAAAAGCTCCGGGAGTTGTGCTGAACAGCTGCAGTGACTCGATGGGGAGCATTGAGAGCTCCATGAGAGAGCTGTGTCACCCTCTGTCCCTGTGCCACTGTCACACCACAGGCTGACATCGGGGCTGTTACCGTGAGAGATCCTTGTTTCCATTAAAAACACAAAAAATTGTGAAAAGGCTTCCCAGAGGAACGGCCAACTTTCTCAGCTCTCTGTGAGTGAGAAGGGAAAAGGAGGCAGGGGGAGTTAAGGAAAGCCAGAGACCAAGAAAATCAGGAAAAGATTTAAAACAAAACTAAAGATTAGGAAAACAAAGTCATACCTTTTTTCATGGAGGAAGAGAAGGGACATATATGTTGAGGAAGGGATATATATGTTGATGGCAAGGGGGGAAAAAAAGACAAAAGAACATGATGAAGTTTTTAACATTCTCAGTACTTTACTTTTGCTTGGCATATCCTCTGTTGGCATGAAACACAGCCCTCAGGCTTCCTCCTGAAGGCTTGCTTACTGACTCCCCAGCCAGACTTCCCTCTGTTCTCCATAAGAATGGGTGCCCTCAGGATATTTCGATATTAAAATCACTATTGTGCATCATCTAAAGATTTTCACAAACATGAATATGGACTCTGCAGTGCAAGCAAAAAAAAGATTGTGTATGCCCCCCCCCCCTTTTTTTTTTAGCAACCAACATAAGCACAGAGCAAGATATTATTATCCAGGCAGATCTCTGCTAGAGGCCAGGAGTCTGCTTTTGTTACCTTCTTAATACCCCTCAAGAGATGCAGATTTAAAGTTTCTAAGTACTGAGATACAGTGGCATGAAGAAATGATACAGCATTATGCAGGCATCACAGTAATCTGAAAATAAGGGAAAACATGGTGATACTGAACACAAACTTTTAACTGGAAATACTTTTCTTGTACACCATCAAATTACTTGCAGACCTCTGCTGCAGCAGCACAGGAGACAGGCACATTCAGTTCAGGGGTACTGAGGAATTTTTCAACCAAATGTTTATTTCAAGACCCTTATTGCTGAGACCTCACCAGGGATGTGGGAAACACAGCTGTACATCCAGCCTTCACTGGACCTGTAATTATTGCCATAGCTCAGACAGGAGAGCTTGAAAAATGCAGCCACAAAACCCAGTAAGTACTGAGTTATCCTGAGCTCACTAGCGGTTGTTTGTCTTTCCCTGCTCCTTTCCCCCCTCCCCAAACATTTTTAAGATGCTACAACTTTTCCAAACAATAGTTTTGGAAGTTTTAGGGAAAGTTTTCCTAAGGAGTTAAACCAGATCCCTCCTTCAGTATTAATTCTCCTTCCTGCAAGTTAATAATCATCAAGAAACAACCCTTGGCCAGGTGCAGATACGGGCTGTCGATTACAGGGGCTGGGGCTTCACCCTGCTCAGCATTAGAGAGAAAACCTGTTTATGGCAAGTTGTGGTGATTCTCCAGTTAAACTTTGTCTGCCCCAAACACACAGTTCAGCAATACCCAGCACAGCTCTACAGTAATGGCACAGCAATGCCATTAGTTACCAGCGGAACAAGCAGAATTTTGCCATCATTTTCACTAGGATGTAGCTGCCAACTGAAGAAAGTCCTACTTATTTCATACAACCATCCATTAAAAAATGTGGACATACTGACTGTATTCACAGCTATTTCCTGGTCTAACTGGAAGGAAAAAGTGGTTTCTTAGGCACCTGTGTGTGTGGTAGGAATCACAGGCTGCCACGGGATCAGCACACAGTGCTCTGGCTGATGTTTGTGTGTCCAAACAACAAAGCAAAAGTACTCGCAAAGCTGTGGGACACTACAGTTTCACTACAAAGCTTGAGTACAAACCTAGAGCTACAGGGACACTACAGCTTCAATACAAATCTTCCTCTGATGTCCATTACAGAGATGGCAGAGTTACTTAATGCCTTCTTTGTCTCTGTCTACTCTGCCGGAGGCCGTCCTGAAGAGCCCTGTACTGCTGAGACCTCAGATGAAGATAGGTCAACGGAGCGGTCTGCCTTAGTCGATGAGGAATGGGTTAAAGACCAGTTGAGCAATCTGGACATCCATAAATCCATGGGTCCAGATGGGATGCACCCGCGGGTGCTGAGGGAACTGGCGGAGGTCATTGCTAGACCACTCTCCATCTTTACCAAGTTTTGGGAAACGGGGAGGTGCCTGAGGAGTGGAGGAAAGCAAATGTCACTCCCGTCTTCAAAAAGGGCCAGAAGGAGGACCCAGGTAACTATAGACCGGTCAGCCTCACCTCCATTCCTGGGAAAGTGATGGAACACCTTATCCTTGGTGCCATCTTAAGGCATATCAAGGACAAGAGGGTTATGAGGAGCAGTCAACATGGCTTCACCAAGGGGAAGTCATGCTTGACCAATCTCGTAGCCTTTTATGAGGAAATAACACGGTGGATGGATGATGGCAGAGCGGTGGATGTGGTCTACCTTGACTTCAGCAAAGCGTTTGACACGGTCTCCCACAGCATCCTTGCAGCTAAATTGAGGAAGTGTGGTCTGGATGATCGGGTAGTGAGGTGGACTGTGAACTGGCTGAAGGAGAGAAGCCAGAGAGTTGTAGTCTATGGGGCGGAGTCTACTTGGAGGCCTGTATCTAGTGGAGTGCCTCAAGGGTCGGTACTGGGACCAGTATTATTTAATATATTCATCAATGATTTAGATGAGGGAATTGAGTGTACTATCAGCAAGTTTGCTGATGACACTAAGCTGGGAGGAGTGGCTGACACGCCAGAAGGCTGTGCTGCCATTCAGCGAGACCTGGACAGGCTGGAGAGTTGGGCAGGGAATAACTTGATGAAATATAACAAGGGAAAGTGTAGAGTCCTGCATCTGGGCAGGAACAACCCCAGGTTCCAGTATAGGTTGGGGAACGACCTGTTAGAGAGCAGTGTAGGGGAGAGGGACCTGGGGGTCCTGGTGGACAACAGGGTGACCATGAGCCGACACTGTGCCCTTGTGGCCAAGAAGGCCAATGGCATCCTGGGTTGTATTAGAAGGGGGGTGGTTAGTAGGTCGAGAGAGGTCCTCCTTCCCCTCTACTCAGCCCTGGTGAGACCTCATCTGGAATACTGTGTCCAGTTCTGGGCCCCTCAGTTTAAGAAGGACAGGGACCTGCTAGAGAGAGTCCAGCGCAGGGCAACTAAGATGATTAAGGGAGTGGAGCATCTCCCTTATGAGGAAAGACTGAGGGAGCTGGGTCTCTATAGTTTGGAGAAGAGGAGACTGAGGGGTGACCTTATTAGTGTATATAAATATATAAAGGGGGAGTGTCACGAGGATGGAGCCAGGCTCTTCTCAGTGGCAAACAATGATAGGACAAGGGGAAATGGGTACAAACTGGAACACAAGAGGTTCCACTTAAACTTGAGAAGAAACTTCTTCTCAGTGAGGGTGACGGAACACTGGAACAGGCTGCCCAGGGAGGTTGTGGAGTCTCCTTCTTTGGAGACATTCAAAACCCGCCTGGACACGCTCCTGTGTAACCTTATGTAGGTGTTCCTGCTCCGGCAGGGGGATTGGACTAGATGATCTTTTGAGGTCCCTTCCAATCTCTAACATACTGTGATACTGTGATACTGTGATACTCATGAACAACACCCAGGTTGGCCACCACAGTGACAGCTGAAATGCTGCTTGCTGAGTCAGAGCAGACACGTTGAGGGTGCACAGTGCACGGCCATGCTATGTTTGGCTCTGTGCTGCCTCAACGCCTCTCCCTCCGTGCTTCATACACTCATTCCTTCATTGTGCAGTGTGTTTTAACTTGCATTCTTCTTACGATTTTGTGTGCAGATACATTCTGTAATTAATGCCCCAATTCAGGGTCCTGATTCAGTTCCCTGGCCTGGAAAAGCATGTAAACATAGGCTTTAAGTGCTTCTCTGAATACAGAATTAGTGAATGGAATGACTAAGTAGGCCCCTTGTTTGGGACCTCACCCATTAGCTGTTCTCGTTTCTAATATTATTAATGACAATACAGCCATACCAGGAAGCCATTAAAGGCTTTAACACTGCAGCTTGAGAGTATTCAGCACATCCTCCACGCGTGAGAGTTGCTAGGTTTGCAGCACGTGGACTGACAGCTCTAACACAAACAACAGGATGATTCAGAAAAGCTTGATAAAAACCAGCCTGACAGCACTGGCACATAACTACTGTCAGCATTGCAGAGATAAATTCAGTATCATTTCTGGTCCACATTAAGTGAGAACTGAGGCTGGTAGGAAACTACGTGGCTACCTGGTGAAGCAGGATGTATAGGATTTGATCTCATGGCCTGCAGAGCTCCCTTGGAACGCATGAATGCACAGGAAAACACTGCAAAACTGTTCCCTTTGTTTTCAGTCAATTAGCAAGAGGAAAAAGAGCTGTTGCATTTAGGTCCCGCTGCCGAATGCATCTGTCTGTGCATCATAACACTGTCTTCACACGTAAAAAGCCGTGAATCATTTATGATTCTCAGATTGCACTCAGAAGCCTTAACCCAAATCACATTCCAGACAAGTTCCAGGACAATTTCTGTTTTCTGAGAGGCTTTTCCTACTGTTCTCCTTCGTTCTGTCCAGTGATAGTTCAACTGCACTGACAAGGAGCAAAAAATAGCTTTTTCCTTACATTACAATTTTTCCTCTCCTAAGATTTTAGCATTTTGTAGTTTCCATTTCTCTGTTCAAAAGCATACAGCCAGTTTGCTCAAAACTGTCAAAAGCCAATCTTTTCTCTTGGAAGACTTTATCTTTCGTACAAGATTGAAGTCTTAATTATAAAAAAAAAAGAGAGAGAAATTAAAAGTAATATTTGCTGTACTTAAATACAAGCCGGATGTAGAATCATACATCTCCAAATGAAACATCTACTAAGTTGGCAACAATGGAATCTTCTCCTCACACATGCAGATGTCAAGCCTGAATGTATTCCTCTCTCTACCTGCCCTCACTCTCCATTGCCCTACACACCTAAGTGGTGGTGAAGAACAATCCCCTGGATTCTGCAGACCTTCTCCTCCTGTCAGCACATGGCTTCACTTCATCTCCAAAAGATTTAAAGACTATGACAAGAAATCCTGGATGCCCAACATGAGAAATCAACCTGCATAAGTGGAACCTAGCAGGTGACTACGCCATAAATACCACTGAAAGTAACAGTATCAGAGGTACAGAAAATCTTCCAAACTTGGGCCCTCCTGTCTGTGAATATGACACCAAGGCTCATATATGATGAATGGTGACCCCCACAGCAAGGGGTTGGAACTAGATGATCCTAAGGTCCTTTCCAATCCAAACCATTCTATGATTCTATGAACACCATTATACAAGGAAGGACTCTGGAGTCACAGATAAACAGCAAGGACATTTGCCCCACAATATGGCTAGAGAAGGACTCCAGCCAACATAACTGGGGCAACACCAGCCTTCACTGGCATCTTCTCACCTGGGTTCCCTGGTTTCACACCCTTCAGCTACCACTGCACCAAAGTCTCAGCAGCAACTGGCTTGGTATTATTTGGGTATTGGTCAACAAACACAGAACATTGTTGTAACCAAAGACAGTTTAGTATTGCCCTTGTCAAACTGCTTGAAACCAGCATCCTTTTTCAAAGAGATCCAATGAAACCTACTCTATTAGCCATGGCAAAGTCCTTATGAAACTGGGATGTTGAGAAGCTTTTGAGGGTGTCAAGGCACTGGAATTGGCTGCCCAGAGAAGTGGTAAATGCTCCATCTCTAGCAGCGTTCAAGGCCAGGTTGGACAGAGCCTTGGGCAAAATGGTCGAGTGTGAGGCATCCCTGCCCATGGCAGGTGGTTGGAACAGGATGATCTTACGGTCCTTTCTAACCCAAACCATTCTCCATTCTGTGATTCTATGTTGTTTTGTGTTTTTTTTTCTCAACCCTGGATTCTTTTACACTGTAATATTACTAGCAGCATGGTAATCCCTGCAAATGAGGGGGTGGAGTCTGCCTAATCCTTTCCAAGGTTGGAGATTACACATTTTAGAAACTCAGGATGTTCCTACATTTCTCCTGAAATTGAGTTTCAACTTGTAGTCCTCTCAGCTCTTGCCTGGGAATGTGCGGTAGGGGCAGGGCTGCTCTGTAAACTGCTTGCAGGTCTGTGGGATACAGCAGGGAAGGGAGAAGTTTCCTCATGCTCCATGCTTGGGAACATATTGCTGGCCACAATTTGGCCTACAGGTCTTTATAGATTAACACATGGTATCTTAGAATGTACCAGACAATAAAATGGGAGGGAATTCCAACCCCAGTTACTGAATGACTGCCAAGTGCTGCTCCCACTTGCAGCCAGAACAGACCACAGCTGAACTACAAGTGGAGAAGGGCAGAACCTGATGGGATGGTTCTTGCCAATATACAACATGCTGTATCTGAAAATATCCAATGTGTCATGATGCCCTTCTGTTGCAGATGAGGTGCATCACCACAAACACTGAATGTTGGACCTCCCCTGCTCAGACTGTTGCATGCCAAGGCCAAAACCAAGGGAGTTTTGCTGCTTCCAAGACAGTAATTTCAGCCCCTTAGTTCAGTGGAAAATCTAGGACACCTGTTCTACAGCAAATGGCTCCTTCCCTGCCTCTGTTTTATAGAAGAATGTGCACAACTAGTAAGATGAATTGAAACCCCATCAACAACAAGCCAAGCATAAGTATGGAAGGCTACAGTGTACAGTATCAAAACCATCATGTCTAGCATACTGCCACACTGCTAATGAAAACACAGGGCAGGAGCTCATACAAAATTGAAACAGTACAACTCTACTGCAAGATGTTAATTACATCCTCTTTCACTAGGCTGATCAGACAGAAGGGAGCCCAACCTCCCCTTCTGCAGTGGTTCTTCCTTCAGAGAACTTTTCTGGTATGGTGTCATAGAGTGAACATTCTCCATTTTCTTTGAACAAATTGTGTTACACTTCTTTCTTATCAGAGTACATAAACTAGATGAGAGGGAATGGATTCAATTACAATCCAGATTCCAGACCTCTCAAGAACTGACTGCCTGACACATTCCTTTCATTTAAAACAGGAACTGAATGAGTATTATATCACATAAATAATGCTCCCTTGATAGGGCAATTCAATAAAATGGCAAAAAACCTCAGACAAACCATGTAGATAAAATATGAGAGCCTCTGATATTACCTACCAGATTTAAAGTACAAACATTTTTACTTCACATTGTGAACAAGAATCTGATTCAGAGAGTCCTTTAAGAGCAAGTTTAGTACCTTCTGACTGCCTCAGAAAAACAGGAAGGACAGCTGAGGAAAAAAAGTGTACTGGAGCAAAGTACAGGTTTCCATATTTGAAAGAAGAGATTGAAGCATACATCAAATGAAACTTTTTCAACTCAGAATAACCAGGACGAAGCACACCTACTGGATACAGCAGTGACATTTCCTATTAGATATGATGACAATAATTGAAAAAGGCTTATATATGAGTCACTAATAAAATCCTAATATGTAGAAAGGCCATCATATGCAAAGCAGGCACAATGTTGTGTTCAGTCCTGTTCTTAATTTGATCATAAACAGACACTGTCTGATCCATGCCGGCAACTGAAAAGCAGAAAATCAGGCGTGTTACTTCCCACCTCAGGCAGTGCTGAGAGGCTTCAGTATCTCTGCCTCATTGCTGACATCTGCTGTCCTGTGAACGAATCATGCAAAACCTTCACCAGCCCACTTGTCCCTTCCAACAAACATTTCTGCTTTCTCCCTCTAGAACACATGCCAGAATTTGTCTCAACACTATTTGGAGTGATTTGCATTACTGAAAACCACTCTTAGAAGACAGACAAAAGGCATTAACTCCCTTGTACTGGCATCTTTCCACCGGGAGATAGTGACTGCACATGACGCTGCTGCTAGTTATTGACACTTCTTCCCTTCTAAGATGTGTACCATCTCCTTCCTCCTCCTGAATAGCACCTGCCTGCAGTAGTACACACTGCTTTAGCACCAAGCACGGTCCTAGGCCTCACTCAGACTGCAAGATTGGCTGCATCAAGCCTCTTCAATTTGGCCTTCACCAAAATAAGTGCACACATCTCTCAGACTCAGGCACAGGATGAATTTTAAGGAAAACAAATTATTCAGGAAGAAGCACATCAATGATGTTTCCCATTAGTCACAGGTAACACACAATCTTACATGCCACCGGAAGACTTTTGCAGGTGGCCCACTTTCAAAGCAAAGCATCCTCCACGGACTCTGTGGAGAGCAGGCCAATTGCTGCCTTCAGCAATGTGACCGATGGCACTCAGGAAGCATGCTAGCACTGATCAGAGCATGTCCCAGAATCATAGAATGGTTTGGGTTGGAAAGGATACTGGAACATGCTGCCCTAGGCCCTGTTCAGCCTGACACTGAACGGCAGCAGGGATGGAGCATTCACTCTTCTCTGAGCAACCTGTTCCAGTTCCTCACCACCCTCACAGTAAAGAACTTCTTCCTTATATCTAACCTGAACTTCCCTTGTTTCAGTTTCAACCTCTTGTCCTGTCGCTACAGTCCCTGATGAAGAGTCCCTCTCTGGCATCCATATTGCTACTTACAGACTCCTCAGGGTAATGAGAGATGCAGAGAGAGGCAATGGTTGTAATGTCCTTGTTAAGTTTTATGCTCTGAACCAAATAAATATGACAGAGACCCTTCTTAAAGCTGTTCTGTACAACTAATTCTGATCTGTTATGTTTGTCTTTCAGTGAAAACCACTTCCATAAGCTACCTCCATACATAAAAAAAAATTATATTTTTCTTGATAGATCACCTACATGCAAATAAATGAAAACAAAGTCAAGATAAATACCTCAGGTCAGTTTTCTGAGGGAAAGGTCTTTTCTTCCCACTGAAGCAGACTTCCAAGTCATCTGCTGTCAGTTTGTGCACAGAGTCAATGTGTGCAGACACCTCCTGGCAATGAGTATTTCCAAAACAAAGGAAGATTTGTGAATTTTTTTGTGTGTGTCTTTGTGAAAATGGAAAGGACACCTCTGTGAAAACACAAAGGTGGCCACAAATGAAGAACAGAAACACAGATATGTGTGCTGATTTCGGTATAGAAACAAATTTAGAGACTATATAAACATTTTCAACTTTACCTGGACCAGGCTTCTGTTAGGATTTAAGACACCTAAATTGTGGCATATTAAGGCATGTTCTTAACACAAGCTTGGCAGCATTGCAGCAAAAATATATACAAACGCAGTGTGAATGCAATATGCCCTTGTGTATTCCCCATGTCTCCTGCTGCCACTTGGGAAGGGTCTTCCTGCAGGTCCTCCGCCATCTCTTCCAGCCCCACACACAATCCTGAAGCTGTTGGACACCTAGTTTGTGCAAGGGTGGCTCTGTCTGGCCATTCTGCAATGCTACTGTCCGTGCAGTAATCACTAGACACAAAAAGGAAGAGTGACAATGCTATTAGATTTGGGATGCACCTCTACAGCCAAACTAAAACTTATTCAACTTAATATTCACAGCAGATTTTGAGCTGTTTGGAAAGATGACAACTGGAAAATGGTTACTATACACCTCTCTGCTCTGTGCTAGGACTAGAGAGCCAAGCAGACTGCACTAGCCCTCTCTCTTGCCAGACAACCCCTGTATTGTTTCGTTCCTAACAGCCAATGAGTTGCAGAACAAAAATCTGATCATTTAAATACAAGCAAACAAACAGCAGAACAAAAATCTGTGCCTAGAACTAAAGCTGACTAAAATAGTGTGACTTCTACATCACTTGCTGCTGAGAAACCTTGATTTTTACTCTCATTTGCTCTTTACTCCTCCTCTGTTCCTTTACCATTTGTTTGCTTTATATTCCAACTGAACAGACCATGGGTTCATAGGAGGCAATTGTTTTTTACAGCCTACCACAACACAAAAGCAAAAAGAACGAGTGGGATGAGTGTGGACTTGCAAGACAGAAAGGTTCTTGCATCCTGGGATCCATGTGAGAAAAAATAAATGCTGAGTGTAGAGGTTATTAGGTACGTGACATGCAAGAATTTGTAAGCTGTACATGCTTATTTTTTACCAACTGAAATCAAGTGATACTCCTTTTTGGATGTGGGGGAAATGGAAACAACACCATCTGGAACTCTTTCAGAAAACATCCTTTATTTTAGCAGCATCAGATTTCTGGAGTGTAAAGGTTTATCTGGCAAGCCTTTATTATACATGATATATGGTTTCTTTTCCAATTTCATATTTAATTCCGTCAAAGAACACGTTACTCATTTGGTAATTCTGTACCATCAACGCTGATGACAGAAGAGCCAGGAGAGTCTCCTGTGATACATAGGACAATCTCCTCTCCAACCCCAGCACCCTCTGGTTTGAACATCTGATTTGTATGCCTAGAGAGACAGGTAAGGATAGAGATGAGGCAACTGGAACAGCAAGACTGTCCCCAACATACAGCAAGAGCAAGGCAACTGTATACTTAGAAATGAGTAGGTCTATGTCCTGGGTCTTGAACAGGGATTCATCGTTCTTCAGAACAGCCGGTTTAAAATGAAACTTGAATACAGCACCTTGACTTGTGCTGTATGACGTAATTATTTAAAAAAGATGGCAGATGTTCCAGTATTATTTGCAATGTTAACCAGAGGGCTACCTTGCAAAGCTCTTCTGCTTATAAAATGAATTTTCTAGCAAAACATTCATCTATTATCAGCTATGAATCAACATATAACTACAGATAAGCATAGAGACTACAGTCAAAATTGCTTTACTAACTTCAAGAGAGCAACCAGAATATGTAAAAAAAACCCCACTTCTGTGTTAAAGGTACATTTTTGAGGCCTCTCTCAAAACTAAAGGCCTTTGATCCTTCTCATCCATCCACATTGTTTGCCTTTTTCCTCATCCTGCATTCGTTTCATACCATCTCTAAGCATTCACTCATTAAACTTGCATCAGCTTGAATTTTCTTAAGTTATTCTAAAATTCTTAGCTGTGCCGTAGCTTTTTGCCCCTGAGAAGAATGGAGCATTTGCACAAATCTGTTCCCATTACCGTTTCATTTTCAGCGAGCAGCCCTACCATTCCAGGAAGTGTGTTTCTCCCATAAGCAAGCATCAAAAT